TTTCTTGAATTAATGAAAAAGTAGGACATTGCTAGGGGAACTTAAGTTTGCTGATTTATTTTTAACATCTGTGTAGTTTTGTTGTGTTTAGTTTATATGCTATAATTTGCTGAACTTATTTTCATCCTTTCATTATACTTATTTTTCCACTATTGCCACTTAAACAATATTATTCATATTGTCCTATGAAATGTGTAGCATTTGAAACAGAAACCAACAGAATTTATAACACATAGATAAATAGCCCCCAAAGCATGTTGAAAAGAGCAGAAAAAAGATGAGTCTTAAATTAACCAATTCATTGGTTCCATAAATATGAAAAGTAAATTTCTAAATTCTCAGAATTATAACTTTATAAAATTCTAAATTATAAAATTATAAAAAAATTATAAAATTCTAAATTCTCAAAATTATAACTTTGCTTTATTTTCAAGTACTTTGATAGCACTGTAGCACCGTCCTTTCCTTGTTCATCGATTTGTTTGAGCGGGCCCAGTAACGTCTTCATTGTGAGACTTGTTGTTACTGTGTTTGGCATATCGAATACATCATGGGTAGCATGCCAGGCTTTGCCATGTGGGCAAGATACTCTCGGTAGCTTGCCCGGCTCTCTGAGAGGGGAGGAGGAATCAAACTCGGGTTGGTCATGTTGGCCACTTGCAAGACAAACGCCCTACTGCTGTGCTATAAGAGTCTCAAAATTAAGTATTGCTGATTTTTTCCATTCTTATTTAAAATATTTATGTGAAAAATATTTATTAATAATTTTATTATTTGTATTATTATATTCGCTTTCTTTTTTTTTCTTTTTTTCTTGGGCTCACACCCAGCGATGCACAGGGGTTCTTCCTGGCTCTGCACTCAGGAATTACTCCCGACAGTGCTCAGGGGACCTTATGGGATGCTGAGAATCGAACCCGAGTCGGCCGCGTGCAAGACAAATGCCCTACCCGCTGTGCTATCGCTCCAGCTGGAGCGATAGCACAGCGGGTAGGGCGTTCGCCTTACAAGCGGCCAACATGGTCGACCCGAGATCGATTCCTCCACCCCTCTCGGAGAGCCCGGCAAGCTACCGAGAGTATTCGATATGCCAAACACAGTAACAACAAAGTCTCCAATGGAGACGTTACTGGGCCCGCTCGAGCAAATCAACGATCAACAGGAGGGCCTTTACCTTTACCTTATATTGGCATTATTTTTACTAAATAAAAAAAAACTTTCTGTGATGGGTTGTTGACATATTCCTTTCCCTGCCTGCTGGAATATGTTTAATACAGTAACACTGCCATGAGAAGTAGTACTGTGTTTGGTTTCTGATAGAAATGAAAACGAGACTACAAATGAAACCCTATTCAGAGTCCAAAGAGGAATGGGCTCCACTTTATTATCTAATGGTCAAAATTATCTGTATCTGTGTTTAGGAAGTAAATGGTATGGGATAAGAAACACTTAGTGTTTTCTTTGGCTTCTGGTGAAGACTAGTCTTACCTCAAATAGCCAAGTACAGTGATAGTGAAGAATGCAGCAGGCGATTTGAAGACCAACCACAGGTCAGAATGGAAAGTAAATGTCTAGTTCTTTTCAGAATGTTCATTCCTGAATCATAATTCAGACTATTTGTCCACAAAGAAGCCAGACTTGCATTTTGAAGTATAAGAAAGGACAGTAATGGTGAAAAAGGTTATGGCTGATTGTGACAAGCCTGATTTGAGCCCCAGAGAAGGCAGCACTCTTGGAATTTGCAGGAGGGAACCTAAGCTGTATTCTGGACAGTGCCAGCTGCTTATGAATGAGAAAGTGGAAGAAGGCAGCATAGGAAAATGAAGGGTTGCTATTGCACCCATATGTAAATTAGAGTGATTGGAAAATCTGATTGCCCCATCTGGTCACATGTCATATCTATATCTCCACTACTCCCTCTGACCAGGAAATAGTAGGGATAACATTCTTTGGTAGTACTGTAAATTCAATTTACAGTCCCTCCAGGATTGATAACAACTGTCCTATATAGTCAGAAAGAGACAGATAAAAAGCTTGTGAACACCCTGAGGGATGGTTTGTTCAGGTATAAAACAAGACAGTGTTATTTAATCTATAAGTCCTCTTTAGGTTTGCACACTGTATGACTTGCTTTTCTTACTTGGATATACCATTGCCTGCCCAGTGTATCGGTAAAAATCAGAGTGTTCACTATAGCTTAAAATACATGTTTTTCCTATTTGTTTTTGTTCCTCTTGAGACTCACACTAGAAAATCGCCATCCATGACCTGTGAGATCAGACTTACTTTTATTTGAGGACCCATGTCAAATTTCTTATCTGTTATGAATGACATCTGTTTATGAGAATTCTCTCTCTCTTCCTCTCTTCCCTTTGAAGCTTTTTATATATAGCATTTATTACTCTTGTTCCTATTTGTGGAATATAAGCACAGTTTTCACTCTTCCTTTCACTGGCATTGAACATTAGCATCAATACAGTAGATAAATATAATATGCATATGGATTCAACTCCATGCAAATGAACAGACTATAAAGAATTAGATTCAGAATTATTTGAACTTGCTATGTATATTAATGGCATCTCCAGTCCCTAGAGTATTACAAATTCTAATATTTATTTACATTTTCCTTCCTTCTTTCTGGGGACATTTGAAAACTGGAGGGTCCCTGGGTCCAATCTTGGTGAGTCTCAGCCCAGTGGTATTGGACTGGTAATTTGGTTCTGGGGTCAGCAAGATGGTGCTTTGGGAGTACCAAGGCCAGTCCAGCATTGCTTTGAGAGAGGGCAAAAAGGTCATTTTCAACAGTACTCAGGGTCTATCAGGGCTCCAGGACAATGTGGTGCGGTATCAAACTCAGAGCCTTGCACACGACCTATGTACCTGGTCCACTATTCCTGTATATAAACAGATTTGAAATAAATAGAGATGGTAAAGTGATCTTAAAACCAACAACTTGAGTTACTTAACCTGGCTCTTCAAATATGTTTTTCCTTCCTTTTTTTTGTAGGGGGCCCTCCCAAGCTCATGGGGTTGGCATGGGGTATATCTAGTTCCAGTAATCACTCAAAGTCCAGCAGTGCAGATCTAACTGTTCAATTCTAGGGACACTTAGAGATGCTATGCTTCTAGGGTCAAGTGGTGCTGAGGGCCACTTGGGCCACACCCAACAGTTCTCAGGGATCTGGTGGTGGCAGTATTGAAATAGGGATCCCCTATGCAACACATGCACTCCAACCCTTTGATCTATCTCCTAAGCTTGAAAATTCTCTTTTCAAATTGCCTCATGTTTTAAAAGTAAAGACTGAAGAAAAGAATAATTATTACGTGACTTTAACTAAATAATAATTTGTCATATAGAGGTCAGTGAAAAAATTCACTGGAGATTATAAAAACATCAGAAACACCACTGATGTAAGCTTTTCCCCCAATTTGAGTAACAGGAATAGTAGCACCTTGTTCACAATTCACAAGGCTCTCTAATGAGGTAATATACAAAAGTAGCTTCATCCCAGTGGCAAAGAGAAATTGCAGTAATTATTTTTTTATAAGTTGGTCCAACTTTATTGAAATCTATTACAGAATATACAATTCAAATAGGAACCACTATCTGTGGTTTTAAGGTCTGTAGAAATCTGAGTTGTTTTATTACAAAATAATATAAAAGACATTAATTCAAATTACAGTGTAAAAAGAAACTTTAAAAAAGTATATCATTAAATTAAACATTCGCACTACAACTACAGTTTTAAAAATTTGAATGACCAGTTTGAACGAAAGGAGAAAATTTACACTTAGAGTAACGTGAAAGTTGCTCACATTGAGAGCCTTCAGCCTCCACGGTCACAAACTTACGCGTGAAAAAAATGTTCACTTTGGGGAAATGATAAAAGACAGGTAGTTTCAATGAGCAAGCATTCACATTAGAGAGGATTCACCTTGCCTTACAATTGGAAATCTACGTTCTCTAAATTCCGCTCTCTCTGTAAAGACCACCAGCTCGCTGCCATGGCTCTGAAACTCAAAAGTAACATTAAAGAAAAACCAAAACAGAGTTCAGTACGGAAATTTGGCCGAAACACATTTCCCAAGGGAAACACTTCTGTCTTTGTTCAGCATTCTCTCAGCCTTTATGCTGTTCAAATCACTCCACTCTCAAGATTGCTAAGAAACTGGTAACATGACCCTCACTTCAACCTTCATTTTGCAAAGGCATTGTTTTTGCTTCTTTCCCTGACAGCTTATTTCCTATCCCTAGTACTCCTCCCCCACTCAACCAACTTAAAGAGCATCTGAGATTCTCATAATATAAACTACCCTTTTGTTGGTTTGTTGGGTTTTTAAAGCTTTGGGTACAATTTATGACTTTTGAAAGTTGTACTGAGTAAATACCGTTCAAGTTCATCGTTTTAATTTCCCAACAGGTAAAGCACTGGAGTGGATGATATCTCTGGCATTAAGACTTACTTTTGCACTCGTTGTTTAAGAAGTTCCCTTGGCTCCTAAATTTCGCTTACAGAGCTAGAATACCAACACCGAAAACCAGTTCATCTGTTCAACATCTGTTTCTACTTTGGAGTACAGCTGTGTGACATAGCAAAATTCCTATCTACTGAACATAGATATATCTCAGGCAAACAAAAAACCACTCCAGACCCAAATACAGATCAAAAACCTACATGGACTGAAAAATGGTAAATTTTTTTCTCATCTTCCGAAAAGAAACACGGTGTTTGGGCCCATAGAGTAATCAACATTACAGAATAAATCTGTTGCCAATCACAATTTTTGACCTGGTATAAAGAAAATTCTTCTGGTAACCTCACATGGCGCAGTTTCTAGGATTTGAAGTTTTCAGAAGAGGACCGTTGAAGAGGCTTCCAGCTCAGCAGACACACTGATGAAAGGCTGGTCAAAAAGGCAGGTTTGCAGGCTCTGGGTAACGCATATTAACAAACTCAAGAGGCCAAAGGAGAGATTTTCACGATGGGTCTCTCACGGCTCACTGGTTTTGGGCCAGTTTTCCATAGCCGCCTTTCCTGGCATCATAGTCCTGCTGGTACTCATCTCGTACCTGGCCCCCAGACCGCCCACGGCTGTACTGTCTGCCCTCCTTAAAGCCCGCGTCCCAGTCTGTGCGAATTATCCGGTCATCCAGTAGAGTTCCGTTTATGTACCGCATGACATTTTCTGCATCTGCTCTTGAGTAGTATTCCACAAAGCAGAACCCACATGCAGTTTTCTTCATTTTATCCAGGCCCATAATGATTTTCTTTATGTCTCCACTTTTGCTGAAGAGTTCATTGATTTGTTCTTCAGTTGTATAAAAGGAAAGGTTTCCAACATACAATGTACAGCTCTTCTTCAGTACTTTTTCCTGTTCTTCATTGTCACCCTGGAAGTGCTGGTCCCGGTACTGGCTCAGCTCCACGTAGGAATCGCTGCTCAGCGTCTTCAGGAGACCCCCAGACATCGTGCCGAGCCCGGGGGCGACGCAGCCACTCGGAGCCCCGCGCCAGCAGTAATTATTTTAATGAAGATAACAGTATGGTTACAGGGCTGGAGGGATAGCACAGCCGTAGGGTGTTTGCCTTGCATGCAGCCAACATGGCCGACCCAAGTTCGATTCCTCCGCCCCTCTCGGAGAGCCCAGCAAGCTACCGAGAGTATCTTGCCCGCAGGGCAGAGCCTGGCAATCTACCCGTGATGTATTTGATATGCCAAACACAGTAACAACAAAGTCTCCAATGGAGACATTACTGGGCCCGCTCGAGCAAATCGATGAACAACGGGAGGACAGTGACAGTGACAACAGTATGGTATCTCACAAGAGTAGAAGAAAAGATCAATTAACATAATATGTGATATTATAGATGAGAATATATACTAGGAAGATAACTAAGTGTGAACTGACAGTGCAGTGAATTGGAATTTTAGAATGGATGTGCTTGTTGAGTAAATGATAGGAAATCAGAATTAACTGGAAGAGCAATATTTCCATTCGTGTTACAAACAGCGGAAAGGAAGGAAAGGAATACGAAGGACAGAATATGATATAAAGATGTGAAGAATAGAAAGGGGTACGTGTGACCCAAGCAGAAAAGCAGTAACATATAATTCAGTAGGAAAGTAAGCTGAAAGAGATCTTCTAGAGTTCTACAAATGATAGAAAAAAAAACTTTACTTGTTCTCTGAGGGATATGGGAAGCACCTGAAAGGTTTGGAGCAGGGAAGTGATACGAATTGACAACATTTTAACAGCTGTGGCTTGTGTTCTGAAAATCGTTAGGCCATTACAGTAGTTGAAAGCTATTTTCACAGGCTAGGTTAAATACAGTGATAGACTGGACTAGGGTAGTGAAGTGGTAGTGAGAATTGTCTTAATAATGGATTTAAGTCAAAGACATGGAAGTTGAAAATGTAGTTCTTTTTTTTTTCTGTTACTCTTCCTCAATACACATTCCAGTTCCTTAAAGTTTTGATCACATTGAAAGATTTGGGAGTTTAACTGATTGAACTATCAGTCTCAAAACTGAAATGAAGTAGGTGGCGATGAACACTTTTTCATATGCCTGCTGGCCATCTGTCTACTTCAGAAGTGTCTGTTCATTTCTTTTCTCCATTTTTAAAACACTGGTTTTGATTTACTGTTGTTGATCTTTGTGAGTGTTCTATATTTCTTGGATATCAACCCTTAATCTGAATTATTGTGTGCATATATTTTCTCCTATTCAGTAGGGTGTCTTTTCATTTTAGTCCGTATTTCCTTTGCAACACAGAAACTGAAGTTTGATGAATTTCCATTTGCTTAATTTTGTTTTTGCTATCTTTGCTAATGGAATCATATCACTGAAAAAGAAAAACACCTACAAGGTCCAAGTTGTGAAGCATTCTGTCTATATCTTTCACAAAATATTTTTCGAAATCTGTTATAATCTTGAGGGCTTTGATCCACCTTAAATTTACTTTTGTAAGTTGTTGGCTGTGAATCTAGCTTTATTTTTTTTTTTTCATGTGCCTTTTCAATTGTCTCTCAGGGAAGTTGTCAATTGGTGATGGAGTCGGTGTCGGAACACTATATACCTCAAACCCTATTACTGGCAGCTTTATAAATCACAGTCCCTAAACACTGTAGCACTGTCCTCCCATTGTTCATCAATTTGCTCGAACGGGCACCAGTAACGTCTCGATTGTGAGACTTGTTGTTACTTTTTTTGGCTTATTGAATACGCCACGGGGAGCTTGCCAGGCTCTGCTGTGTGGGCAGGATATTCTCGGTAGCTTACCGGGCTCTCCAAGAGGGATGGAGGAATCGAACCCGGGTTGGTTGCATAAAAGGCAAATGCCCTTTCCGCTGTACTATCACTCCAGCCCATCCCTGAACTAAAATTTTTATTTTAGAAAAGTACTGAAATGAAGAACAAACAATCTTCATGGAGCAAGAATAATAAATTAGATTTTTTTTCCAAATGAGATAATAACAATATATACCCTACTGTCTTGGGGATTTTACTTTCTTCTACCATGGACACTATAAATTCATCAAATTGGATGAGACTTGCCTTCATTTTCTTCTTACAAGGATCTTCTTTCTCTCCTGCTTTGTGCTGTCTTGCCTAATCCAGATCATAAATAGGTCTTTGACTTCTATTAACTTTTGGTTTATCTACATAGAGGTAATGGATCATCTTTCCAACCATCACTGTATCACTGTCCTCCCGTTGTTCATCGATTTGCTCGAGCGGACCCAGTAATGTCTCCATTGGAGACTTTGCTGTTACTGTGTTTGGCATATAGAATACATCACGGGTAGCTTGCCAGGCTCTGCCATGCGGATAAGATACTCTCGGTAGCTTTCCGGGCTCTCCAAGAGGGATGGAGGAATCGAACTCGGGTCGGCCATGTTGGCTGCATGCAAGGCAAACACCCTACCGCTGTGCTATCGCTCTAGCCCACTTATAGTCACTGAAGTTATTTCTCCAATCCTGAAATATGAGATTTTTATATTGGGTAAGTATATTCAGGGGAAAAGGAAGGAGGAAGGATTAATGGGGAAATATGGAGCAGAAAAATGACTCAGAAATGTGATATACATTCTTTAGGCGCAAGTAGTATGCATATATATAGTATAGCACAGCATTTATTCTGTTATGTTGTCTTTCTTCTGGATGGAGATGAGATTGGAAGTACAGACTGAGCAATAGCTATGAAGGTCCTTGATGTTAACTAATCTACATCTGTGAAATTGACTTGTTTATCTTTCAAAGCCATAAGAGCTTAATATAAAGGAGAGGTTTTTGATTGTTTTTTATCACTTAGCATCAGCTGGGATTTAGCTTGTTGTCAACGTTTCTGGATATGCATATTTGTGCAAGAATAGTTTATTGCATTACATCTACATTAAAAATGACTTCTTCCCTAAGGGCTCCGTCAAAATCAATAAATCTATACAGTAAGGTAGCAGCATAAAGTCAGTATACAAAATCAGCTGCATTTCTATATTCAAACAGCAAATTAGAAAAAAGAAATGAAATAATTCCATTTACAATTATATTAAAAATCAAGTACCTATAAATCAAATTAGCCAAATCATTATTATTCAACTCCATTGGCAAGGAAAATAAAAACAAAAATAAACAAATGTGGTCACCTCAAACTAAAAAGTTTCTGCACAACAAAAGAAAGTATTGTTAAGATAAAAAAAAATACTGACTGGGAGAAAATATTCATACATAATAAACATGATAAAGGGTCATTTTAAAATTGGAGAGAGGAAGAAAAATACCAGATGATCTCACTAATGTGTGTATAGAAAGAACCAAAGCATGATAGTAAAACAGTGTTCAATACAAGCAAAGTCTTGGACACTGAACATAGAACTACAATTAACAAGTCAGGGAGAGGAGAGAATGAGAATGGACCTATGGACTGTAGTGGAGGGATATTGGCACTTAGATGGTAAAAGTGGTTTTGTTATGTTGTAACCATAAAAGCTATAAACATTTACCCTCTTGTAAATCAATATTACCTTAATGAAAATATTTCTTTTTAAATAACTATAGACTGACGGGGTTATGGCCAGCAGGTCAATCTGTACCTGTGAGGTGAGAGCATCAGCAGCCTGATGGCACCGTCAGACTTTCAGATACCCCAAAATTGCTGCTGTGCCTTTGGCCAGACCCCAAAAACTTGGGGCAATGTTTACCAAGAAAGTTAAAGGCCAAAAGTTAGGTATGTGGAAGACACACCCACAAACCACCTCTGGCTCACATATAAAATTGCAGTCATGGCCTCTCTGGTTCCTAATCAAACTGCTTAATGGCCATGATCCCAGAGACTTAGAAACGAATCTTGGAACCCAAAGGCTTTTGGCAGAAGTGCATCCTGTTCCTGCAGTAGGTTACTGGGGCTGGGCCACTCCAGGTGGGAATAGGTTTTGTGCCTTGGCCTATTCCCCCTTGGCGGCCCAGTTACCACCATCCTCCAGAGGCCACTGGAAAGTCTGGTTTGGTCCTGCAGTGACAAGCCATGTGAGAGGCCTCACCAGATGGGGGTGGAACCGGCCCTTTTAATATACATTTATGTGTGAATGTTCATGCATACTTCTATATAGATTTTGTATAGATTATTGTAAGTCACTAAAATCAAGTTACAAAATTTTTCTGTAAGAACAAAATTATTTCCTCATATTACCCCTTTAATCTTGCACCCAGACACCGTATAACTCTAGACTTAGATACCTGATATTCATTAGTTTGTCCTTAATCATTTTTCCTTTGTCCTTTCAAGCATTTGTATAGGGAGTGGGGGAGATTAAACCACACCTGATAGTGTTCAGGGATTACTCCTGGCTTTGTGCTCATTGATCACTCTTAGTAGTGCTTGAGGGGCCATATGGGGTGTCAGGTATCAAAGATAGAAACCATGTTGGTCACACAAGGCAAATAACCTGACCATTGTACTGTCTCTTCAGCCTAGAATTTTGTTACAAAGAAGTTCTCCTAAAAATTAAGTTTCATATTTATGTTTGTTTTATATTCCAGTTTATTTAATTATTATTAAGATAACAATAATAATAATGTTAAGCTTTTGCTATACAAAGTTATACCATCATCACTGTGACCACGCCAAGTGCTAAGAACCCTACACCACTGTCGTTTTCTAGTTTATGCATCCCTCCCCCAATCTTCTCAGACTTGTAAACATCACTCAGTTCTGTTGTTAGATTACAAGATTTATGTTTTATAGTTCCACTAAACTCTTTAGCTCATTGACTTCTGTTTGGAGCTTTCTTACTTTCATTCATTCAGTTTACTTTCTTTGAGTTTATTGGCACGCTCTTCCCTGGCTTTCATTCCGTTGAAGGATTTGTTCCTTGGAAGCTCTCCTTGGAGAATTTAGAAAGTTTGTTGTGTATGAAAACCTTCATGGGCTTTTGTATGTATGTATTCATTACTAAACATAAATTCTTCTGTTTCTTCATGATGCTTAGTGCTATA